AAAAATAAAACCCAAATAAAGAACTTAACAGTACACCTAAAGCAACTTGAAAAAGAAAAAAAGAATAAATAAATTTAGTAGAAGAAAAAATTTTAAATTGGAGCATAAATAAATGAATATAAGTCAAAAAGCAAAATAAAGATCAATGAAACTAAGAGTTCCACTAAACGTCTATAAATCTTTAGCTAGGCTAACAACTGACACAAGAGAAAAATTATAAATGGTATTAGAAAAGAAAGAGGGAACTACTATAGCATATAGAAATACAAAGGATTGGAGGAGAGCACTATGAATAACTATGTTAAAAAATTCAATAATATGGAAAGTACAAAATTATAGAGAAATATGGCTTATATATGAAAACTGAACCCTGGAAGAAACAGAAAACTTGAATAGATTTATCATGATAATGAAAATCAAAGCAGTAATAAAAAAAAATTCCCAAACAAATGTCTATAGCCAGGTGGAAGTACAAGTGAATTTTTATCAAGTCTTTAAAGAAGAACCTAAGCCTATCTTATTCAAATCATTCCAAGAAATCCACGAAGAGGAAATACTTCCTAACATATTCTACTATGCTGACATTATCCTAATAGCTAAACCAGATAAGACACACCCAAAAAGAAAATTACAGACCAATATCTCTATTTATTAAGGTGAAAATCCTCAACAAAATACTAGCAAATTGAAGTCAACAATGTACCAGGATCATACACAAAGGCAAAGTGGAATTTATTTCAGGGATGAAAAAATGATTTAACATAAAATCAATCAGTGTGACATACTACATCAGTAAAATGAAAGATAAATGTAACTCAATATTAATGAATGCAGACAAAGTATTTGAAAAAAAAAAAGTACAGATTTATGAATAAATGTCTCAACAACAGGGGAATGGAAGGAACTTATCTCAACATAATAAAGGTGATGCATCACAAGCCTATAACCAGTACTGTACATAGTGGTGAAAAACTGAAAGATTCTCCTTAAGGTCAGGAACAAGAGCAGATGGCCCACTGCCACCACTTCTATTTAATTGAGTATTACAAGCTTTATCTAGAGCAATCAGACAACAGTACAAAATAAAAGAAATTCATTGGAAAAGGAAAAGGAAAACTATTCTTATTTTCAGACAATAAAATATTCTGTATCATATTGTAGAAAGCCTTAAAGACTCCACCAAAAATCTATTAGAAACAATCAATGTATACAACAAAGTAGAAGCTTATAAAATCAACCCCTAATTATCTGTTTTATTTTTATATACAGATAATGAACAACAAGAAAAAGAGATTAAGAAAATAATACCATTTATAGTTAGATCAAAAAAGAATTAAATTCCTAGGAGTTAAGGAATGAGGCAGTAAAGGATTTATACACTAGAAACAACATAGCACTGTAACAGGATCTAGAAGAAGGCCTAAAGAGATAGAAAGATATTTCCTGTTGATAGCTAGGAAAAATTAACATAATAAAATGACTGTTTTACCAACAATGACATACAGATTCAATGCAATTCCCATAATTCCAATGATGGTCTTCAATAAAACAAAACTTGAAATAATAATAACATTACTAGAACTTAAAAAAATACTAAAAATTGGGCCCTCCCTGGTGGCACAGCCGGTTAAGGCACTGCACTGAGAAGCTTAGGCCACTTCCGCATGAGCTCTATTCCCGCCTGCCCCGGAGGTGACCACATGGCGTGGCAGACCTCTCCTGACCCGCCCGCTGCTCCCCTCAGCAGTGTACTTCGTCCATCTGCCTGTTCTGTTCCCCACTCTGTCTCTGGTGAATCCTCTCACCCTCCGCATCTCTGTTCTGTATGAATAAATAAATAAATCTTTAAAAAAAAAATACTAAAATTTAGATGGATCCTTAAATGACCCTAAAGCAACTTTAGGAAAAAGAAGAAAAACGGAGGCATCATTTTACTTGATTTTAAGTTATATAAAAGAAACAGAAACAATAAAAATTAAACAACATGGTACAGAAGTAAAAACAGACACATGGATCAGTGGAACAGAATTGAAAACCCAGAAATAAATCCACATATATATTTCCAACAAACATAATTTCCAATAAAGCAGGAACAACAATAAAATGAAGAGAGAAGTGTCTCTTAAACAAATGGTGTTGGGAAAAGTATTCAGACATATAGTAAAGTTGGATCATAACTAACTCCATGCACAAAAAAAAAATTCAAAATGGATAAAAGAGTTAGATATAACTCACATCAATATATAATGTCTATAAAAAATACATAAGAAAACAATTCATGATGTCAATGACAAAAATGTCTTTGAGAAATTGACCCCTATGGGAAGGGAAGTAAAAGCAAACAAAGTAGCATTTTTATATGTAATTGAAGGTAATTTGGTATCAATTAATATTAGACAGTCATAGTTTATAATGTCATATAATCACCATCTAACTATATGGGAAAATATCCATAGAGCAACCACAAATAAAATGAAAAGGCAATAAAAATATGTCACTATAAATAAAGCAATCAAACGAAGAGAGTTGTGGGGAAAATGAGGAACATTAAACCTATAAGGCAGAAAGTGACAGAAATCCCTCTTTAGAAATAATTAATTGAAAAGAAATTGGCTTAAACTTTCCAAAAAAGAAGTGTAATAAACTTTACAATGGAGGAATTGGGGAAAAAAAAGAACTTCACTGTCCAATTCTGTGTTGTCTACAGCAGACATATTTTAGATAAATAAAAACAAATTGGTTGCAAATGAAAGGAAGGGCACATCCCATGCAAACACTAACTGAAAGAGCAGAGATGGCTATACTAATTTGGAGGAAATAGACTATTACAAAGACAAAGATGTAGGTTTATAAAAAAAAAAAAAAGAGCTAACAATTTTTACATGCAGGTATCAAACGCCACAGTCCTAAAAACGTGAAAAAAAAATTGAAACAAAATTTAAAGTAGAAATTAAGAAATAGATTTTGATACAACAATTAAAACTTTAATATACCACTTGTAAAATGGTAGAACCAGACAGAACATGAATAATAAAGAAGTTGAGCAAAACCATATACCAAATAGACTTAACAGAAATATACAGAATCATGTTTTTTGCAAGTGCACATGTAACATTCTCCAACATACAGAGCATGTTAGGTCACAAAACAAAACTCAATTAAATTTTAAAAGACTGCAATCATAAAAGGGTATTTTTCTATCACAATGGAATGAAGATAGTGATCAGTAACAGTAGGAAAACGGTCACTCTCTCTCTTTAATTCTATTAGAGATTCTTAACCTTCATGGTCTTATGTAAATTTCCATGTCTTTGTCCTTCACCTCCTACTGGTTCCTTTCTTATGTGGGTATTGTTTCTTTTTAGATTATTCCAGAGAACTTACACTATTATCATTATTATTTTTTGCTGATCTATTCATGCATTTTTTCTTCACTGTGCATTCAAGCTCACTATTCTGTCAGGTGCTTCTTTGCTTTATCTACTACTTAGGCCTTCTTCTGTATTTTTTAGTTCAGTTATGTTATTTTGTAAGTCCACTGTTTAAAATATTCCAGTGACTATCTATAATCGCTGTATTGCTGCTTTTGATCAATTAATTTCTTATTTCAATAAATGTTATGACCGTTGTACAACTTATGTTTGACCATATTTGTTTAGATAAATGCATGTAAGTTTATATGATTATTCCCTTGGCAACTCATTAGACATTGTGTCCACAGAGTGTCTCATTTTATAATCAATTTGAGGACTCTAACTATTAAATTGTACATAGTTTTCAACTTGACTGGACAGTTTTTAAAATTATATTAAAAACAATTTTCCCCATCACTATTGCTGATATCCCTTAACCTCAGAAACTAGTTTTTACAAGTATAATACTTTTGTTGAAATGTCCACTCTGAAACATCCAATATTGGCTTTTGTCAATTTGGCTTCTTTTACTATCAATAGTCCTATCAAACACCTTCTACTCTATTGTCAATAGCAGCATTTTTCTTTCTTTAGGGCTGAACAGCAGGCTATTGTGTAAGTACACCTTATCTTCTTGATCCAATCTTCTATTGATTTTTTGCTTCTGTATCCTAGCTGTTATAAATAGTGCTGCAATAAACATTGCAGATAAAATAGTTTTTTATATAATGGTTTTACATTCCTTGGATTGATGCCAAGAATAGGATTGCTGAGTCATATGATATCTTCATTTTCAATTTTTAAAGGTAAATCCAGATTGTTCTCTGTCATAGTTATACCAGCATACATGATCACCAACAGAGTAACAGGGTTCCATTTTTTTCCCCTGCATCTTTTCCAGCACTTGTCGTTGGGGGATTTTTAATATGTCATTCTCAAAGGTGAGATGTTATCTTACAGAGATCGTATGCTGTATCCTGCATCTCTCCTATTGGAAGCAATGATGAAAAATTTCCATGCATCCAAAGGCCTTTTGGATATCCTCTATGGTAAACTGTCTTCCCATTTCTACTGTTCATTTTTCTATTTTGAATATTGTAAGTTTGATATGGATAATAACACCTTTCATATGACTGTTGCTTTAAAATTTTCAGACAAATTACATAGTCTTGCTGGATTCATATTTTTTTTGTTTCTTTATTTTTGGTATATTTCTCTATCTCTTTTTGAATTATAATGGTTGCAATAAAAAGCCTCCTTTCCTTGTCCTGTTGAATTGACCACTATCATATTTACAGATTACAGCATAAAATCTTAGGTTGCTTGCCTGGGACCCTTGGGTGTCTATAATTCCACGGGCCAATGTCTCTGCACCTATATGGATGAGGAGAGGTGTAGTGTAAGCTGGGGGTTAGGAGACAGGACAGCAGGTCATTGAGAGATCGTTGCTAGGATGTGCCAAGATTTCCAGCTTCTAAGGTGCTGTGCATACCCAGGTTGGTGGGATCTACAATGATGCATTCACTTAGGCTAAGCCTGTGGTTAAATCATTTCAAATAGTCTTGGGCTAGCATCAGTCTCTCATACTCTGGCATATGGGTTATATGACCAGTAGTTCTTCTTCCTTGGGGGTGTAGACAGGAAAGCGATCAGAGAGCTGCTGGCTTGCACCACAGCCAGGCTACTGCTCAGGTTCTGATTACAAATGAATGAGGAGTGTGCAGGTTTGCACTTGCAAGCCACAAAAGATTACCTTCATTACAGACCTGACTTAATGTTTATAGCATGGAGAGGGAGTGATGGCTGAGGGAGCTGGGGGGCTATTCCTTTTGTCTTTGAACTTCAGAGCCCTGCCCAGAGGCACTTGCGCATGTTGCCAGGACCTAGGTGTTTTGAACTTTGGTTAAGGATATACTAGTCATCTTGGTCTTGCCACCCTGCACTTCACCCTCCTCCCACTCGTCCCCCACCACTACCTGTGAGGCATAATACAGCCCCAGCTGTAGAAAAAAGCCTCTTTTGAATAGAGGCACAAGTGAGCCACTTGAGCCTTTTCAGCAGGTTTGGATTCCAGGAAGCCATGTCCAGGAACACGAGTTTAGGGTATCCACCACCACCTTTGCAGACTCACACTATGTCTCCAAGATTGTCCACTACCCTCAGCTCCCCTGATGAGGGGTGTGGGGTGTTCCACCATGGTTTGAAGAGCCCAGGCGCTGTCTGGCAATATAACTCCTGCCTTTGCATTCATTAATCTACTGCTCCAACCCTCACAGGTGCAGTGCTGTTCCCCTACCCTTATTCTCCTCTGTTGAGAAGACTTCTAAGTCCTGTCCACCAACTATGTGTTCCCCTCTCTCCAGTGAAGCCTCTGGGTTCTAGAGCCCCCAACATGGGCACGGCACTAGCCCTTTGGTCAAAAACAGTGAGGCAGTCCCCCTCCCTCCTGGGCTGTGCCCCCTGAAATATTCCCCACAGCTATATTTCCAATTTTCCCACCTCTGCTGTGTCACCCTCTTCATACACATATTGTGGTCTTATGGTCATCCTCCAGGGATTGCTGTTTTTATTTGCATATAGTTTGGTTATAAATAAGTATAGGAGGTGAGTCTGGCTTCTTCACACCTCCACCATTTTGCTGGATTCCCCTGAAGAAGCACTTTTCATTTCCTTCAAGAACTTTTCTTTTGTATCCACAACTTGGCTAACCAGCACCAGAGGCCTCATTTTCCACCTATCTTTACTTCTGACATGCCTCCTCATTAAGCGTCATCATTTCTAGTTTTCAACTGAGAGACATGCAACAATTCCTTTCACTTGAACACTCAGAAGCCATGTTGGGCTATTTGTTAACCTTATTTCAGTATTGCCATTAGGCTTTCAGGGCATAGAGAGTTCTGAAGGAGAGGTGGAGAAGGTGGGAATGGCCGGCCAGTGGAGCAGTCAGAACAAACACAGCACTGACTCATATGGGCTTGGTTTGTGGTGTTCCCCAATAAACACAATCAAAGATCACTGATTACCATAACAAATACAATAATGAAAAAGTTTGGGATATTTCAATAATTACTGAGACATGACACAGACAAGAAATAAACACATGCTATTGGTAAAATGGTGCTGATAGACTTGTTTGAAGGTTGTACAAAAATTTGTACAAAATGCAATTTTTGCAAGACAACACGCAACATAATGATGTAAGTTTATCTATTGTTCTTTTTTTTTTTTTTAAAGATTTATTTATTTGTACATACAGAACTGGGGTACAGGCCAGAGGCTCACGAGTGGCGAGAGGCTTCACCAGAGACAGAGTGGGGAACTATCTGTTGTTCTTTTGATTATAACAATTCCTGTTTCTTCATTTGCTTGACTCTCTTTGTAGTTTCTGCACTTTAGACCAAACAAGCAGCTCTCCTAGTTTGGAAAGAGCAACTCAAGTGAAAGAACATTGTCATTCATCCCTGTCCTAATGCTTGGCTGTCTCTCAAAGCTTTTGATGGTCTAAGTGGCCTGTTTTGTTTTTCTATTCCCAGTAGTTGAGACTATGTCAAGACCTGTCAGTGTCCCAAAAGGGAGGATTTCAGCAGCTGGACGAGGCTGATTGGAAGCCGGACTCACAGCAGCTTTCAAAGGAGGTAAAGGCATCGATTCCTGGGGGACCATAAGCAGAAGTCCTGCTGTTAACCAGAGCATGGTGACTTGGAGGTGTCCCGGGGGGGCAGTCATGAAACTGGGGTTCCAGATGAGTTAATACATTCTTTTCTAGGAGTTACTGGTAATCCGGAGGAAGAAGAGGGAGAGCACTAAGACTAACTGTTAGCCTCCATTCCCTGAAGAGTATCTTCATAGGCCTCTACTTGTGGGCCAACTCTGAAGCTTTTTCCTCAAGTCAAAGCTCCTAGACAAGCAAACAGGTCTTTTTTTTTTCTTCTTCATTTATGCATGGAAGAATTGGACTCGGGTTTGTCTCAATTTACTGTCTGTGATGCCCTGAGGCTGACTGTCAGTCAACAATTATCTCCCTGATTTTACAACCCATGGAACCCAGAAATACAAAGCTCGTCTGACCCAGAGGGCCAGCTAACCAGGGGATCCCTTTGGGTGATGCCTGGGCAGCAGCTGCAGAATCAGGACACTAGACATAAAAACTAGGGCTCATAATGGAACAATTAACAGCGCCTCTTTGAGAGCAGCCCTGGGGCACTGCAGAGGAGAGTGTGAAGACAGTGCCTGTCCTGAGGTCTCTGGAGAGGATATCAGTCAGTCTTTAGATGTGTGTTTAATTAAAAGCCTGACCCTCCAGATAGTCTAAAAGTCTCTTTCATAGAAAAACCTATACTCCTGAGTCTATTGCCTCTTGCTATGACCTGAGGGTGGTAACTGTCTAAGAACTCTTTCTTCGTGGTTGCAATCCTATGGAACCTGCACACATAAACCTTCCTGGTCACCAGTCAAGTGATGGCAGCAGTTGAAAAATCAGGCTACCAGCCAAGGGTCTAAGTTGGAGTGAGGCAGGTGAGAGTGTAAAGATACTGCCCACCAGTCTCCATTTCTTGAGGACACCTACTTAAGCCCCTCTATGTGAGCCAAATCAGAAGCTTTTGTCTCAGGTGAAGCTCCAAGACAAATATACAGGCCTCTGGGAGAAACACCAGGTGTGTTTCAGTGTGCCGTCTGTGTTCTGAGGGCAGAAGGCAGCCATGACTATCTTATTGTTACAATCCTGGGGACCCAGAAACGCCCGACCCTCAAGCCCACCAGGTGATCAAGGGGCATCACTGGGAGGTATCAGAAAAACTGGGGCACCAGGTAAAAACTAGGACAACAGATGCATGTAAACCCTTCCCTCCAGGACATGCTGGTGCTCTGGAGTGCACAGAATGGGGAGTGCAGCCTAAGAGGGATGGTGGGGATGAGGTTCAAAGCTCTGGGGAGAAAAGATCTAGAACCCCGAACACATTAAAAAAAAAGAGGTCCCGGCCCTCCCTGGTGGTGCAGCGGGTTAAAGCACAGCACTGAGAATCTAAAGCCACTTCCGCAATAGTTCGATTCCCGCCTGCCCCGGAGGTGACCACATGGCGAGGCAGACCTCTCCTGACCCGCCCGCTGCTCCCCTCAGCAGTGTACTTCCATGATCTGCTTGTTCTGCTCCCTACTCCGTCTCTGGTGAATCCTCTCACCCTCCGCAACTCTGGCCTGTACCCCAGTTCTGTATGAATAAATAAATAAATCTTAAAAAAAAAAAAAAAAAGAGGTCCCACCAGTCTGTATCTACCAAGAGTATTCCCATAGGCCTCCTGCCCCTCAGGCTGGTGATTTACACTTAATAAAAGAGCCCTTCCACAAACATCTAGGCACTGCTTTGCAAATAGATATTTCTATACTGAAGCCTAAGGCCAAGTAAGTCTGCTAGCAAAGTGTTTTAAGAGTTGTTTCTCAGTTGCTATAATCGTGTGGGTCTTAGGAAATCCAGCCCTCTTGGTTTTGAGGGTTTGGAGGTTGTCTGACAGGTGCAGGTCTTAAAAGTTGGAGTACTTGATAGAGGTTCAAATCCTTCAATTTTTTTTAAGATTTATTTATTTATTCATACAGAATTGGGGTACAGGCCAGAGATGCGGAGGGTGTGAGGATTCACCAGGGGCAGAGTGGGGAGCAGAATAGGCAGATCAACGAAGTACACTGCTGAGGGGAGCAGAGGGTGGGTCAGGAGGGGTCTGCCCCGCCATGTGGATCTCCTCCAGGGCAGGCGGAATTGAACTCATGCGAAGTGACTTAAGCTTCTTAGTGCAGTGCTTTAACCCACCGCGCCACCAGGGAGGGCCCTCCTTCAATCTTTTGATAGGAGCTCCTGGTTTTGAGTTCCCTCCTAATTACAGGTCACAATGTTAGGGTCTGTGTATTTTGTGAGATTGTGTCAGCCTCTCCTACCTATTTTAGTGTGTTTTATTTTCTCACTTGCCTTGTGTGAAGGAATTGCTTAGTTTGTTTTTAGTTTTATTGTCTTCCCAGGGGAAAATATTCCAAAAGTGGCTATAGCTTTGATGCAACATTGGAAAGTGGTAGTTTCAGAATCTTTCTACATTGCCATCTTGAACTAAAGCCAAATAAAACATTTTTTTAAGAACAAAATTCTCTTGAAAATTTTATTAACATGTAAAAAAATAGATCATTCAACTCTTTCAGTCTTTATGAAATTTGTGTTTTAAAGAGGAAACTTTTTTCACAAGTCCTCATGTAAATCAACCAGACACAAATAAGCTTTATAATGAACCTCTCAAACACATTTTTTTACTACCTATCTTTTTTAGGGGATGACATCAGCATTACTGTCACAGAATTTTCTTTCTAGTCAAGCTTCAAGATTAAAGGTCATCCACAAATCTTAATTTCTTTTTATTACACTGCTGAGGCAAGCTAGAAACATACTTCAACATTATTTTTCAATTCTTATGAACTATTTTACAGCAAAAGCTATTTGATACTAAGTATTCTTATGCTCAAATTCTAAGAGTACTCTTTAGTCACCACTGACCTTGGTATTCCAAGATTAAAAAAAACTAATTATGTTTAATGTTATTTACATAAATAAATACAATTTAATCACTAAGCTCTTCCTCATCACTGAAATAAGTACTTTTCTTTATCCTCAGACATTTTGAATCATCTGATGTTGAGGGACACCCTGAACTGGGTTTCCACTTATTTTGTTCTTTTTCAATTTTGGCTTGCTGGAAAGCTATGGCCTTACTAAGGCTGTCAAGGGCAAGATCTTCTTCATCTTCACTTTCTTCTATTCCTTCGATTTCTTCTTCTGGTTCAGGAATTTTCTTTTTCTTCTTTTTCTCTTTCTTTTTTGGAGGTTCACGTTCTCCAAGCATATTTTTAGGACAGGCATAACTTCAGTGTCCACTTTCCCCGCATTCATAACACTGAGATTTATCAAAGTAGGTTCGCCTTCGGATGAACTCAGCTGCTCTTCCGTTGTCAATAGCAATGCTGGCTTTTGTCACTCTACCAAGTAAGTGCTTGTTGTTTATGGCCCTTGTGCAATTTTGTGCAGAATCTTAGTCCAAAAACAAAATGAATGCAATCCCTGTACTCTTCCTGGTATCTGTATCTTTCATTATAGTAACCTTTACAACCTTGCCATACTCAGAGAATATACTGTACTTTTGCTTGGGGCCAGTACTCATTTCTTCAGTTAGGGTGGGCCTGGGAGACTGCGAGGGAGCCAGCGCTCAGCTCCAGGGGTCTCAAGCCGGGCTCCTTGCACCCTGCCACGGGCCCCGGGCATCATGGGTCCTGGGGAGGTCAGGTGCTGCGGCCCAGAGCAGCGTCTATTCTTCCAAATCAAACATTTTTAAACAACCAGTGAGTCAAAGAAATAAAAAGGAAAATTAGAAAAGACATTAAGGAAAATGCAAAATCAAAATACCAAACCTATGTGACACAGTGAAAGTGGAGCTAAGATGGAAAATTTACAGTTATAAGTGCATACATTAAATAGAAAGATTTCAAATTAGTAACAGTCAAATTCCAACAAACATGAGCATTAAGATAATAATAAAACAATAGTACAAATAATTTTATGCTTACAAAATGCTTTAATGGGCAATAAGTACTTTTTTAATGGGATGTAATTTTATTAGGATGCCCAAAATGTTTCTCATTTAATAATCCAGGAATTAATTCACTAAAAAACAAAAATTATGGACTTCCAAGTGCCCATCCCTATAGCATATATGTACTTATATATACACTTA